GATCACTTAAGGCCAGGAGTTCCAGGCTAAAGTCAACTGTGTGCTGCCGCACTCCAGAGCCTGGGTAACAGAATGAGACCGTGACCCTTAAAAAAAAAAAAAAAAAAAGCCGGGCGCGGTGGCTCAAGCCTGTAATCCCAGCACTTTGGGAGGCCGAGGTGGGTGGATCACGAGGTCAAGAGATCGAGACCATCCTGGTCAACACGGTGAAACCCCGTCTCTACTAAAATTACAAAAAATTAGCTGGGCATGGTGGCGTGTGCCTGTAATCCCAGCTACTCAGGAGGCTGAGGCAGGAGAATTGCCTGAACCCAGGAGGCGGAGGTTGCGGTGAGCCGAGATCGCGCCATTGCACTCCAGCCTGGGTAACAAGAGCGAAACTCCATCTCAAAAAAAAAAAAAAAAAAAACAGCTTCTCGTGTGATCCACAGCCTCTGGGCGTGTTCCACCTCGCCATGACTTCCTACAGCTATTGCCGGTCATGGGCCACATTCCTTCAGGGGCCTGGGGTGACGGCTCTGTGTGATTTCCTACCTGGAGGAGGTATACACCCTCGAGGTGGCCAACAGTGAGCTGGAGGTGAAGATGTGTGACTGGTACCAGAAGCAGGGGCCCGGGCCTTCCTGTGACTACAGACACTACTACAAGACCATCTAGGACCTGTGGACCACGCCCAGCCAGAATTGTTTTCTTAATTTCATGTTTTGAGTCTTTATTCATTGCTGCTGTATAGAAATATGATAGATTATTGGCTGGGCACAGCGGCTCATGCCTGTAATCCCAGCACTTTGTGAGGCTGACTGGGGTGGATCACCTGAGGTCAGGAGTTCAAGACCAGCCTGGCCAACATGGTGAAACCTCGTCTCTACTAAAACTACAAAAATTAGCCGGGCATGGTGGCATGCACCTGTAGTCCCAGCTACTCAAGAGGCTGAGACAGGAGAATCACTTGAAGCCAAGAGGTGGAGGTTGCAGTGAGCCAAAATCATGCCACTGCACTCCAGCCTGGGCGACAGACTGAGATGCTGCATCAAAAAAAAAAAAGACTGATTTTTGTGTGTTGATTTTGTACTCTGCAATTTTGCTGAATTTGTTAGTTTTTTTTTGTGGATTCTTCAGGGATATATACATATTATATAATATATAGATTATACTATGTATATTATATATATTTTTATACATATATAATCCATGTCATCTGTAAATAGAGATAATGTTACTTCTTCCCTACCCATTTAGATGCCTTTTGCTTCTGTTTCTTGTCTAATTGCTATGGATAGAACTTCCAATACAATGTTGAATAGAAGTAGCATAGGGAAAGTAGGAATCCTTGTCTTGCTCCTGATCTTAGGCGGAAAGTTTTCAGTTTTCACTGTTGTATGTAATGTTACCTGTGGGCTTTTCATAAATGCCTGTTACCATATTGAGGATGTTCTTGCCCTGTATTTCTGCCTAGACAGCCCTTCGACTTCTGCTTAGGCAGAAACCTTTTCTGTCCTGTTCCTTCTGTTGTACATCTGTCATGTATATTCTGTTTTTTTGGAGTACTCATAAAGAGGACCATGGAGTTTTGTTTTCAGGTAATTTCCTTGTGAATAACAAAGGCTTATTCATACCAAATCCGTTGTCTTTGACAAGCACATAAGGAGCAGAAGCAGTATTGGGGAAAGCAATTGTGTTTATATTCTTGTAGTGGTTCATAGTTGTCGTTAACCACCTTCTATATGCCAAACATTATTGCTGGGATACAGAGATGAATGTCTGGCCCCTGCCCTTTTAGAATACACACAATGAAATGTGCAAGTACAAAGGAAACCAGTGGAAATATGATATAATTCTGTCTGAAAGTACCAATACAGATTTCCCAGAGAAAGAGGCATTTCACAGTGACTTAGAATTTGCCTAGTAGAGATATAAGAGAATTCCAGATAGAGGGGCAATTTGAGAGAAGGTAGTCATATTCCAGAACTTGAGAAGACAGAGGAGGAGATACCCAAGGAGAGCATTTAACCCTGGGGCTCCAGTATATGGCTCCCTATCACTTATTATGAAGCCTTTGAGTGACATTTATATCACAAGGCATAGAAACAACCCCAGTGATATAGGATTCTCTCTCTTTTTATTTTTTTTAAATTTTTCTCTTTTGGACCTGAAGAAAGAGATACAGGATTCTCATGGATCTGAGTATTTGCTCAGCTTCAAGGAAAGTCTATTCCATGAGCCAGCCAACTCCCCTTATCACGGAGACCCTCCATAACTCAGGAGCTGTGGTCTCCTAGGACTGGAAAGAATGAGATATCCAATAAATTCATCTGGCAGATATTCGAAAGCCAACTATGTGCTGGATTCATACTAGGCTCTGGGTATATAATGGTGAGTAAGACAAATATGGTCTCAGCTCTTACAAAGTTTGCAGCCTGAATGTCCAGCACAATGGGGTAAACAAACAATGTGGTAAATGTTCTGTGTGACGAGAGAGGCAGAGGCTACCTTCACACTTAGTGCGGTTCCTTCCAGGATCCCAGGCTTCTGAATGGGGGGCATTAGCATTTGCTCATTTTCAATCTCATCTCTTCAGTTCTGAATTTTACCCTCTCTAGTGCTGTTTATTCCATTCTCATTATTTCAGAGGTCCTTGAGCTAGACACACATGGATGGACTTGAGAGAATCCCTGGATCTCCTGAAATTTTATGTAAAATTTTGTATATGTGTGTACTTTTCTTTCTTTCTGTTTTTCTTTCTTTTTTTTTAGATGGAGTCTCACTCTGTCACCAGGCTGGAGTGCAGTGACACAATCTTGGCTCACTGCAACCTCTGCCTCCTGGGTTCAAGTGATTCTTCTGCCTCCTCCTCCCGAGTAGCTGAGATTACCGGCATGCGCTACCATGCCCAGCTAATTTTTGTATATTTTTTTTTATGCAGATGGGGTTTCACTATCTTGGCCAGGCTGGTCTTGAACCTCTGACCTGGTGATCCACTTGATTCGGCCTCCCAAAGTGCTGGGATTACAGGCGTGAGCCACCACACCCAGCTGTATTTTCTTTTTAGTAGAGATGGTTTCACCATGTTGGGCCAGGATATCTCGGTCTCCTGACCTCATGATCTGTCTACCTTCGCCTCCCAAAGTGCTGGGATTACAGGCATAAGCCACCGTGCCTGGCCATGTGTATACTTCTCTGAGAAGACTATATATATTAATATTTCAACAGATTTTTTTTTTTTTTTTTTTGAGACAAAAGTCTCACTCAATTGCCAGGCTGGAGTGCACTGGCACGATCCCTGCTCACTGCAACCTCCGCCTCCCAGGCTCAAGCAATTCTCTTGCCTCAGCCTCCTGGGTAGCTAGAACTACAGGTGTGCACCACCATACCCAGCTAATTTTTGTATTTTTAGTCAAGAGAGGGTTTCACCATGTTGGTCAGGCGGATCTCGAACTCTTGACCTCGGGTGATCCACCTGCCTCAGCCTCCCAAAGTTCTGGGATTATAGGCATGAGCCACCATGCCTGGCCTTCAGCAGATTTTAAAGCTGCATGGTCCAATGCTGGCCACATATGGCTATTTAATTAAAAATAAATAAAATTGGCCAGGCGCGGTGGCTCAAGCCTGTAATCCCAGCACTTTGGGAGGCCAAGGCAGGTGGATCACGAGGTCAACAGATCGAGACCATCCTGGTCAACATGGTGAAACCCCGTCTCTACTAAAAATACAAAAAATTAGCTGGGCATGGTGGTGCGTGCCTGTAATCCCAGCTACTCAGGAGGCTGAGGCAGGAGAATTGCCTGAACCCAGGAGGCAGAGGTTGCGGTGAGCCGAGATCACGCCATTGCACTCCAGCCTGGGTAACAAGAGCGAAACTCCGTCTCAAAAAAAAAAAATAATAAATAAATAAATAAATAAATAAAATTAGCCAGGCGCCGTGGCTCATGCCTGTAATCCCAACACTTTGGGATGCTGAGGGGGCAGATCACAAGGTCAGGAGTTTGAGATCAGCCTGACCAACATGGTGAAAACCCGTCTCTACTTAAAAAATACAAAAATTAGCTGGGCGTGGTGGCACGCACCTGTAATCCCAGCTACTTGGGTGGCTGAGGCAGGAGAATCGCTTGAACCCAGGAGGCGGAGGTTGCAATGAGCGGAGAGAGCATGCCATTGCACTCCAGCCTGGGTGACAGAGTGAGTCTCCATCTCAAAAAAAAAAATTTTTTTTAATTTAATTTAAAATGCATGGAAGACCGAGGCGGGCAGATCACTTGAGTCTAGGAGTTCTAGACCAGCTTGGCCAACATGGCGAAACCCCGTCTCTATTAAAAATACAAAAATTAACCAGGCATGGTGGCATGTGCCTGTAATCCCAGCTACTCAGGAGGCTGAGGCAGGTTAATCGCTTGAACCTGGGAGGCAGAGGTTGTAGTGAGCTGAGATCATGCCACTGTACTCCAGTCTGGGCGACAGAGGAAGACTATCTCGAAAATAAAAATAAATAAAATGCAGTTCTTCTACTGCATTTGTCACATTTCCAGTTCTGGTGGCCACCATTAGACAGCACAGATATGGAATACTTCCATCACCTAGCATTAGACAGCACAGATATAGAATACTTCCATCACCTAGCAAAGTTCTATTGGGTGGCATTGCTTCAAAGGATCGCTACATGAAATGAGTTCGTGACTACAATTACTTCACTAGCCTGCAGACACCTAAAACACGGGCTGTGTTTGTGTGTGTGTGTGTGTGTGTGTTCTTCCACCATGCACATACTAATCGAGTAGTTGGTCTTTGTGTATTAATTAAATGCTATGCTAGGATAATACAAAACCTGTGACAAAGGTACTGCCTGTAAGGAGCTCGAGTTGAATCTAGTTGGCCTTTGCTATGGTTAACAACTGTTCTCTCTCTCTCTTTTTTTTTTTTTTTTTCAATTGAGATGGATTCTCACTCTGTCGCCCAGGCTGGAGTGCAGTGGCCCAATCTTGGCTCAGTGCCACCTCTGTCTCCTGTGTGCAAGTGATTCTCCTGCCTTGGCCTCGTGAGTAGCTGGGACTACAAGTGGGTGTCACCACGCCTGGCTAATTTTTTATATTTTTAGTAGAGATGGGGGGTGGCTTCACTGTGTTAGCAAGGATAGTCTCCAACTCCTAACCTCATGATCCACCCACCTCAGCCTCCCAAAGTGCTGGGATTACAGGTGTGGAGCCACTGTGCCCGGCCTACAGTTGGCTGCTCTTGAATGTGTTTTTTACCCTTATGAAATAGTCGCCTTTTAAAAGTTTTATTATGGCCCCTTCCCTTGCCCCTACTCTGGAGGTAACCACTATTAATAACTAAGGGGTCTCAAAGGGGTGGTGATGAGGCAGGAGAATAGGGTCTAGAGGCAGGGAAACTAAGGCAGTTTCACAATGACTTCCTAGAACTTAATTGATAGGAAAGCCCTAACTTTCCACTCCTAAGTAACCAAAGGACCAGAGGTTACTCCTTTTGCAAACCCCCAACTTTTCTGGCCGGCAGATGGGAAATTGAAAGTACCTCTGACTGGTTGCTTTTTGCGATCTATCAGATGTTTGCATAGGATTGTGACCTTTGTAACTTCATTTCAGCCTCTGATTGGTTGTTGTGTGAAACCAATCAGACTGATTCTGGGCCAAGTCTTCATTTGCATAGAAGTGCAACTTTGTAACTTCGCTTTAGCCTCTGACTGGTTGCTTTGTGCAACCAATAGATGTTTGCATAGGAGTGTGACCCTTGTAACTTCACTTCAGCCTCTGATTGCCAGCCACCACTTCATTTACGTGAGGTGAACACCAAGTGGCCAATGGGAAACCTCTATGGGTATTTGGATCTGAGAAGATTCCGTACCGTGGGCCCTTGAGCCACTGCCCATCCCATTCCCACACTGTGGAGTGTACTTATGTTTTCAATAAATCCCTGCCCTTATTTCGTTTCTTTCACTGCTTCATTTTTACCTTGCTTTGCTGTGAGTTTTGTTCAATTATTTGTTAAAAATGCCAAGAACCTGGACAACTTACAGTCAAAACCAGTAACAGAAGGAGGGGGGAACAATAATGATAAAAATTCAGGGTTCTTCTGCGTGTTTTCTTTTTTTTTTTTTTTTTTTCTTTCTGGAGACGGAGTTTCGCTCTTGTTACCCAGGCTGGAGTGCAATGGCGCGATCTCGGCTCACCGCAACCTCCGCCTCCTGGGTTCAGGCAATTCTCCTGCCTCAGCCTCCTGAGTAGCTGGGATTACAGGCACGCACCACCATGCCCAGCTAATTTTTTGTTTTTTTTAGTAGAGACGGGGTTTCACCGTGTTGACCAGGATGGTCTCGATCTCTTGACCTCGTGATCCACCCGCCTCGGCCTCCCAAAGTGCTGGGATTACAGGCTTGAGCCACCGCGCCCGGCCTTCTGCGTGTTTTCTATTCATAGATACACAAATCTACATGTATTTCCTTTAACAAAAATGAGATCATGGCTTACAAATTATTCTGCAGCTTGATTTTTTTTTATAGCTGCATTGTGTTTCATTGTACTATAATTCTGTTGGTGGAATTATAGGTGTTTTCAGTTTTTCACTATTCTCAGACCATGGTAAACATCCCTATACCCTTCCATACTTGTAGTGTAGTTTCTATAGGACAGTTTTTTTAGGGTAATTATGGGGTCAATGGCTTTAAATATAAATAGGTAATAGAAAACTGCCCTCCAAAAAGAATATAACAATTTTCATTCTCTCCAGTCATGTGAGAGGCTGAGGCAGCTGAATATAGCAACTGAAAATGCAGCTGGTCCAGCAGTTGCGTTATCAAAGTTGGCATTGGTTCCAGCCAGGGGTTGGAACCTGGGATTTCCCTGAATGTCTGTATCTTTTTCTGGACGACCTAGACTTGCTCCAGTCAATCTTGCCTCCAAAGACTTTAGAAAAAATGGACTCATTTCAAAGCCGTTTTGAGCTTTGGATTGTTGATCCTCAAAATTCACATGTTCTAGAACATAGGATTCTTGAAAACCAAAGATAGAGCAGCCATGGAATGTGACCAGCTTTTAGGTGGATAAGTTTACTGTGGTCCCGACGAGGTATCAGCAAAGGCACTCGTTCTGCATAGAACACTGTCTTGTACATGGTGAACAATATTGTCTATAATTATGATTATTATTTTCTTTCCCTCCAAGTCCTCTGTCCCTCTCTTCTTTTCATTTGAAGCTTGTCCTCGTTTTCAAAACTCCAATATTATAGTCAACCATTAACCAGGTCAAAACAGTTCAGAATTGCCTACTAAGCCGGGCGCGGTGGCTCACGCCTGTAATCCCAGCATTTTGGGAGGCTGAGGCAGGTGGATCACGAGGTCAAGAGATCGAGACCATCCTGGCCAACATGATGAAACCTGAAACCCCATCTCTCCTAAAAATACAAAAAGTAGCCGGGTATGAAGGTACATGCCTGTAATCCCAGCTACTTAGGAGGCTGAGGCACGAGAATAGCTTGAACCTGGGAGGCGGAGGTTGCAGTGAGCCAAGATCATGCCAGTGCACTCCAGCCTGG